TAAACATCTTAATGTCTGTGTGTTGATCTGGTCACTGTGGGTGCTTTCTTAACAGCCAGATATTCTGTTGTTTTGTACAGTTTTTATGGGACATGACTCCCCACTTTTAGCTAATGGCCACCGCTGCTGCTCCTACTGCAAAAAAGCCTTAGAGTGACCACACCTTAGACATAGTCTGCGGGCCCCCAGGTCTGCGGACCACAGGTTGAAAACCACTGTTTTAGAACAAAGACCCTTCCTTGTTTCTGACAGTGGGTTAAGGCTCTAAGCTTATCCCAATCACCATGAAAAAATAGTCAGACTGTTGAATAGCACATCCAGTTTACAAACAACATTGCACATGATAATATACCTCACCATGTGCGCCAGCCAGGCCTGCTTCACGTTACTTGTACCACTATCTCCTCCTCCTTGCTCTTGCCACGCCTCCAGGCTCATGGTGCTAATAAGAGGAAAAGGATTCCCTTAAATTAACACATACTAAGAATAGTTACCACAACATGAGGCGGGTCTTTCCAGTTGGCTAAAATCATTTGGAGAGCTGGTGTCTAGCAGAGCATTTAGGAGATAGTACATGTGACTCCACGTGCCGGGAGTGGGCCAGTCTGGTTTTCACATGAGCAGCCTAAAGTTGAATGTGAAAGCCCTGCACGTGTTGGCCTGGCAGGTGTCTATTGTTCTGTGTCTAATGAAAAGAGACCTGGGGCTGAGCAGGTAGTGTGTGTTTCACCTTTTCAAGTCAGATTGTTGTGGATGAGTCAGAGTCCCGTGCTCCTTTGATGTAAATATCTGTAGTGTGTGGAGAGGTTTTTCTATCCCTTAGAGGGGGGATTGATGACTGTTGTATAACCCTTGACATGCTGCTATAAAAATCTGATTGTGCATTACTCAAGATACTTAAGGCACTGACAAAAATTATTGCCCCTCTTCTAATAGTCAGAACAGAACTGTGCTAGGTTCATTGAATGTGTGTGGGGGGTGTTCTGTGGATGACCTCAAAAGAAAGGATTTGGCCTAGTATTGTAAATTGCCTCCTGTAAGAATGTGTAAATAGTCACAGTGCTACCTGACCCTAGCTCTTGGGGCTAGGCTGGAGGTAGGGAACATCCTACCTGCCTCTCCTGAATGGGCACATTGCTGCTCTCTCAGGCTGAGTTAACCAAAGCCTCTGGTGGTTTCTCATTGGGGTGGGATGGTGACTCACTCCCACCTCAAGACCCCAGCCTCCCAAAACCGGCAGCAGTTGGCGGGGGGAAGGGGATCTCTTTTAGTCCTGCCTTGCATTGAACACACGCGCACGTGCGCACAATGGTCCACTTGCCACTGCAGCTTCCAAACCTGGAGAGAAGGAGTTTGCCAAGGCCTTGGTCATGAGAAGCCTTTTAAATGAGAAGCCTTTAAGATTTAAATGGAGAATAAACTGATTATCCCCTACCCCACCCCCCCCGCATACAGAGACGCACCTGGACTCAGGGCTTATGGGAGAATAGGGGGAGTAGCTTTGTAGTATCCTTTTGCTAGGCTATAGCTGCTCCCCACCCCCATGACAAGTACCATTAATCTGACATCCTTACCCAGCATCTAAACCTTTCATGACTTGTGGAAAAGCCCAAACCTGAACCTCTTCCCACTTGTCAAACCCCTCTCATGTTCACTCCCTAAGCACCCAAGACAAATGATGACAGAACTATGTCCTTCTTAGACTTCACTGTCGTCACAGGGCTGCCCATCATGGCCACCAGGAACTTCATGGTGTTTTTTGTGGGATGATTATGCTTTGTATCATTCAATAGTACTTTGATATGCAGATTACTAGATGCTAGATAAATAGAGCCTCTTGCTCATAATGAACAAATCCCTACCACTTTGAGCTAAAGGAGAAGCTAAGTATAGGGCTTCTGACACACAGCTGAGCAATTCTGCTTCCACCCAGCAAAGGGTAGTAGTGCAAATATTCACTAACCAATATTAAAATAGGTGACCTGCTTTCTCATTTTGAATTCTGGTGACCTTAGTTATAACTCATATCCAAGGGATCATAAATAAAATCCAATATATCACTGCAAGTCTCCTGGTAGGTATCTAATGACTGAGTGTGTGACCTTAAACTCCTAATAATTCAGAAGGAATTGGCATATGACCTTTCATTCAGAATCCTCAGAAAACAGATTTTACAACAAAAAATAATTTGCTTACAAACACATCGTGTTTATTATCTTAACGAGATAACAACAGACACACTTTATTGGGACATATAACAAAACATCTGTCCCTAACCCAAAAAAATGCCTTGAGAAAAACAATCTCATGTTGATACAGTCATATGACACATCATTTTGAAAAGTAATGCAAGGAATCTGTACCCACAGAACACATAACCAAACTGATACAGAGATTAGTCACTTTGAACTAATTCTTCTTTTGAATTCACTGTAAACAGTTCAATTGACGTAACATTAAACAATCACCAAATAAACACACTATGGAATTTAGCAACATAAAAACATGCCATGAAAAATAAACATTGCCATTAGAAGTCTATACAATAAAGTGCTGCAGTTCCTAGCTGAAATGTCCCTCTGACATTTACATAGTTCATTCTCACAGCTTTATGCTATATATTTACAGCCTGAAATTACTGATGGGCCATTTGAAACCTTGGCTAGCATCCTAATTAGCTGTAAGGCTGCAAGCATTGAGCTGAACACCTTAATTTGGGTATATTTTAGCAACAACACTGTTCCTTAATACTACATTTTCTTGAGATTCTTAATCTGACATAACTATTATTGACCTCACTGGAGTTTCACTTAAGACTGTGATCCAACTCCATGGAAACCACTGGGAGTCTTTCTATTGAATTCAGTGGCTGTTAGATCAAACCATGAATGAACAGCTTTGCTTAGTCAAATGGAGTTATTCAGGGAGCTAAAATTTGGCATAACAGAAACGAAAACGACAGTCACCCTTTAATAACTGAAAAGGTGCTTCTGAATGAGACATGACCTTTAGGGAGACAAGTTCACGTTTATCACATTAGTTTGTGGCACTGTGGATAAAACAACACCATCCTGAAATGCTACATTCTCACTGAGAACACAATATCTGATAGGTCATAGGAAGAGAAAATCTTGCTATGTTTGGGCCTTCTCCTGCTCTCATTCAAGCCAATGCAAAAGTTCTTTTGCTGGGAGCTGGACTGGGCCCTTTATACATTTAAAAAACAACCAAACAGCATCTGAGATTATACCAAATGAAATCAAAAGTGTCAGCAAATCAGATAGCTTGATACTTGGTCCTGGGGTATTGAAAAGAGCTTTACAATGAAAACCTCATGAAAGAAAGCAGATTTGTACAAGATCATAGGCTCAAATCAGGGGTTCCCAAACTTTGTTTGCGCTTTGTTCAGGGTAAGTGCTGGCCCGCAGCTCCCATTGGCCGGGAACAGCAAACTGCAGCCACTGGGAGCTGCGAACGGCCATACCTGCGGACGCTCAGGAAAATAACGTATCTCACGGCCTGCCCTGAACAAGCCATGAACCAAGTTTGGGAACCCCTGGCTCAAAGTCATTGGTGACTTAGTGTGGAATTAATTGCACACAAAGGGCAAGGGAGCCCAAAATGGATACAAGCAGTGAAATGGTATAACTTGCATTGATCTGGCATTCAGAAGGTATATAAGACAGATGTAATTTACATGCAAGAGGAAAGTGTAGTAGAAGCAAGAGAGTGTGAATTCAAGTTACTTTTCTTCCTTCAGCCTGAAACTGACACTTATTTTGCACACCCTCTGAATACCAAACCCAGGCAAGTTACATTATTTTGTCACTTGCATCCATTTTCCTACTAGTTGACATCCCATATATAATTTAGCCCATTTTAAGACACTGATTAATTTAGCTTAGACATGATAGTTGCCCTGTCTCTTGTGTTTGATTCAAGGGGCTTTTATAATATACAAACAGAAAAGTTGCTTTCTAATGGACTGAAGTGCAGAACAAGTCTCTCCTTTAAGCCAGGCCCAATGTAGCTTTTCAATAAGGACGCAACAAGCATCTCACTTACATATCACATCCATTAGACAAAATAACAGCATCTTCATCATTACAAACAAAAATGAGGTTGACACCAAATAAGAGCTGAGTTTTTTTCTTATCCTTTATTTCCAGTCAACATCTCAGCTTTCATTTAGAAGCAATACATTACTTTCCTGTAACAATTGTAACATTCAGTTTTATTGACATATCTCTTAATCTAAGCAGTTACTTTATTTGAAAAATAATTCATGTTTTTTCTCCAGAAAAACCACCGATTCCATTTTACTTTAACTTTCTATTTGTTTTGAGAGTAATTTTATTACCTCATAATAAAATTAAATCACACCAGTAGCTTATTCTGTTTGAATATTCCTTTTGATGCTGTGAAGGAATCTCCCGCAAACTCACACACCTATCAATAATCTTATTTTGCTATGTAATACATGCTTTAATGTATGCATTTTTCTTATTCATATTTCTTATTCTTTCTTAATCACCAGAAGCTACTGTGCTTCCTTTAATCTGTTTTAATGCATTCTTTATGGCACCATTTGAATAGTTATCTGCACTATTTCTGGTGCATAAGCTATAAGTCAGCTCTTTAAGTTCCATGAAATACTCTTTTCATACACATATATACATCCTAGATCCTTACAGCAGCCTCATAATTAATAGAATTACGTTATTCCTTAGAGAAACATCTGCATAAGAAGTAACATCACTGACAGTAAATGTGCTACAACCAAAAAATAATAACAATAAAAAAAAATGTTCCACACCAGATTTTATACTATAGAGTCTACATTTTAGAAAACAAAAACAATCAAGAACTTAGAAACTGGTTTTCATTGTACATTCCAATCCAATGTTTGGAGGTAACTGGCATCTTCTGCCTGTTGCTCAAAGTGACATAGAACTAGCTGCAACTCATGAACCAGAACAGAACCCCAGGTTCCTTGCTCTTCCAAGTCACTCCACAGGTCAATCTTTGGAATGGTTAATTGTAATTTTTCTCCCATACTGACATCCACCAGCCAATACGTATGTCCAGCTCTCCAGAGAAATCATATTTCAACAGCCTTCCTTCAGTGGGAATAGACAGCAGTAAGTAATGCATAGAGCTCATTCCATCTCCTCATCTCATTCAAGTCACTTATTACAAGCTTGTAAAGACCATATTTTCCAAAACCATTGTTTTCTTCCTTCCTTTTCTTTTTGACATCTCCCAAAGAGTTTTCACGTTCCTGGGCAGAACAGTTTTGTAATAACATTAAGAATCTTCTGCTGCAGGTTGCATATATCTCCTATTTTGCGTAGTTGCAAAGAGCACTGCATCACAGCTTCCTGTGCTGTAAAACACAAAGGAAAACCAGTCATCAGCTTTGTGAATTCCGTACACTTTCTTGTCTATAGTGGATAGCTCTTATATAATCATACATGTCTATAAGTTAAATAAACATTTTACCCCAAGAGGTAAGAGATTTGTAAAGGTGTATAGTTGCTTACAGAGCTGGTAACAGAAATTTAAAATAAAAAGCCCAGAAACCTTTAAAAAACAGTTTTTTACTAGCTCTAGGTGCTTGTTTGGACTGGGGAAAGCAATCCCATATTACCCTAAGTGACCATCATATTTTTTTAATTTTTTTTTAAAGTTAGCACTGATCAAACGACAAGCCACAAAGCATGACTACTTTGATCCGGCTATATTGTATTGTTACACAGCCTTCTCGGGTATTTCAGAAAACGCGGGATTCTGTTCTCTGGGTGACAGGTTTCAGAGTGGTAGCCCTGTTAGTCTGTATCAGCAAAAACAACGAGAAGTCCTTGTGGCACCTTAGAGACTAACAAACTTGCCACATCTGAAGAAGTGAGGTTTTTACCCACGAAAGCTTATGGCCAAATAAATCTGTTAGTCTTTAAGGTGCCACCGGACCCCTTGTTGTTTTTGTAGATACAGACTAACACGGCTACCCCCTGAAATTTGCCACAAGGACTCCTCCGTTGTTTTTGTTCTCTGAGTGAATCCAGTTCCGTCAGTGAAGGCATGAAGTTAAACAACTGGGAGACCAGAATCGAGCTCGCAGTCAGTATTTATGGAGCGGTCATTAGAAATGATCCTAAGCTGAATCCCCCCGATCCAAAGACCCCAGTTTTTTGAGGGAGTCGGAACTTAGAAACCACAACCTTGGAGCCAAATGTTCCCTGAACTGGGTGGTGGTTCGAATCGAGATCCGAATTTGGTGCCTCGGACCTAGCTCTAGTGATCACCGCTAAAACATGTTTTAGACGGGTTCCAATCTCAGATGGCAAAGATCTGAACCACCAGTATTACTGTGGGCTGCATGGAGCATCTAGTAATCAGGCTAAGACATTATTCTGGCTTTCCTTCTTGCTAACACCGTCATTTAGAAGTTAAAAAAATTCCTGTTTCTTAATCTTCCCCCAGGCAAGAGGGAAACCTTGACCCATTCAAAACGGAAACTTATTTTGCTCACACAAGAACAGAAAGCAAAACCGCTCTCGCGCCCAATGCAGCCTGATAACACAAGAAGGTGAAACTGACTATCCCCCCCTAGACTACTCCATCCCAGCGATCATCTAACTCCAGCGCGTTTCTAAGGGCGCTCGGGGCCCGGCTCAGCCCCCGGGCACCCACCCGGCTCTGGGGGGGACGGGACGGTACCGTACCTGCGGGAGCGGGGCTCTGCTGCGCACCCTTGCGCAGGGTCTTTCCCGGCATCATTTCGCGTCGTTCGCCGGCTGTCTGCAGTCGCGGGGAGATCAGACCAGGCTGCCTGGGGGCCGTGTCAGGAGCAGGACGGTGCCGAGCGACGCTCTCCTCTCGCCCGCCTAAACGCCTCTGGCTGCCTGCGACTCGCCGCCGCGCGATAAAGGGAGACACGGGGTTGCGGGGATTTCCCAGCCGGTGGTGAGGTAGGGAAAGGAAAAGGGAATTCCTTCCGCCCCCCTGGGCCTTCAGCCAATCAGCGGCGAGGATGCCTGGCGTGTTTCCACAAGTTAGTTCATTGCCCGGGCACGGCACTGGACCGGGCACGTCTGGACTTGCCCGAGGCAGAGCGCGAACTGGCGGCTAGCCCCGGCCCCAGCCGGCCCGGCCCGCACTGCCTAAGGGAACCGGCCCCGGGGGCGGGCGAGGCAAGCGCCGAATGGGAGCTCAGCGGCTGGGCGGTGGTTGCTGATGATTTGATTCCTAGCACGCTGCCCTGGCAGGGTCCCTGTGCCAGACCTACCTGCAGGGCTTGAGCTGGCCGGAGCGGAGCTCCCCTCAGTGTTTTCAAACCGTTCTGGATCAGGTTGCAAAAAGCATTTCCCAAATACAGGCCCACATCTTGAGTGGTCCTCAGAGCATCTCAATACGACTTGGCCCAGAGGAGCCCCATCGGCTTAGGCTGTGTCTACACTAGCACTTTTGTCAGTATAACTTATGTTGCTCGGGGGTGGTGAAACCCCTCCCCCCCCCAGCAACATAAGCTACATCAACAGAAGTGCCAGTGTGGACAGCACCATGTCAATGGGAGACGCGCCACGGCCGCTCATAGGGGAGTGGTTTAATGATGTCGAAGGGAGAGCTATGTGTGCTCTGAGTTTTAATAACGGGGTGAATGTAATAAATTAAAACATGTTGAGCCCTGAGTGCAGGTTTATGCTGAGTGGCCATGTATTCTGTGCCTGACTAAGATGAACATACATAGTCTAGTTTCCCTACTGCCAATGCGGGGTTAGAGCAGAGGGAGGAATGAGGGATGCTTAAAGGACCATGTTTGCACATGGATCCTATTCCAGCAGGGCCTACAGTCAGCTGATCAATGATCCAGGAGCACCACATTATTATTTACTTATTATTAAAGCTGACAATGTGCTAATCACAGAGATATAAGCAGGGCCGGCTCCAGGCACCAGCTTACCAAGCAGGTGCTTGGGGCGGCCACTTCGGAGAGGGGCGGCACGTCCAGCTGTTCGGCGGCAATTCGGCGGATGGTCCCTCACTCCTGCTCGGAGCGAAGGACTTGCCGCCGCAGATTGCGATCGCGGCTTTTGTTTTGTTTTGTTTTGTTTGTTTGTTTGGCTGCTTGGGGCGGCCAAAACCCTGGAGCCGGCCCTGGATATAAGACAGGCCCTGCCACAAATACCTTACAACCTAAAGCTCCGATCCTGCTGCTGGACCCACCTGGTTGGAATAGTGCACTTGCACAGAGCCCCATTGATTTCATCGGGGCTGCGTATAGGCACAAGGGTCCACTCCTGTGGATCTAGCTGGGCCAAAAAGACATCGAGGAGAGAGGGTACTGCACATATTTGACTAGATTAGACAGGCGTTACCACTTCTGGGCCCTCCAGAATTTTTGTAGGAAACTGTAATATCACAGACTGTGTCCAAAGAAATGTGCAGATCATACTTGAAATGTGCTAGATTTTATATTCCTTAGCCATACCCACAATCTATGTGAACAGTTTGGGTATCTGTGTACTTGATGAGATGATACAGTAGTTTTTCTTTCTTAATCACCCTGATGTTTTGAAATCTATAAAATTAGTGAATGTTCCCTGAGGAATCGGCTCTGAAGCCATAAAGGCACTGTATGACCCTTTCACTCTCATATGATTTTAGGACAGCACTGTGCGTGAGTCCCTGCCTTGCTTTCTCTATAATCATTGCACCTGGAAAGGTATTAACTGGAGTTGAGGTGTGTACGCCAAACAGTTGTTTTTAGGGTAAATACCTAGCAGAAAGTGAACCAGACTGACACAGGAGCAGGGTGAACAATTTGACATACCAAAAAAACAACAAAAAACAGATTTGTCACTGAAAGACATTAACAGAGAAAATGACAGCTACACCCCTCAGAGCAGTTGCTAATCGGAGAAAAATGCCAGACTATAACCTGTCTATGGTGGTTGATGAGAAATAGTAATTCTCTCCATGTAATCAGAGCCTCTGGTACCAAATGCCTGGAGATGCTGACTATATTAGTGGTGACTGAAAATGCTTGGCTATCAAGCCATTTGTATTGGCTCAATTCAGAGGCACGTTAACCTAATATATATACTGCACGCATTGGGTGAAGTCCTGGCCCTAATGAAGTAAATGGCAAAGCTCCCATTGACGTCAATGGGGTTAGGATTTCACCCGTTATAGCTTAATCTCAGCAACACTTTCGATTTTCTAACAGCGTCAGATGGCTTTTGAAACACACTGGGAAAAATCTTGTCCTTACTACACTGAGTGGGGCAAGGCAGGAGTAGAGTTGAGGCCTCTTCCCCCCGCCCGCCCTCGGAGGATCCCTAACCCATCTTGCTGGCCTAGGGCAGCACAGCTCATGTGAATGTGTTGTGTAATGCACCTTTCTGCTTCTGTACAATGTTAGAAGGCCCACAGCAGCATATGCACAGGGGGTTGGGAGAGTAACCATGCTTCAAGGGGGCAGACCATGTGGCAGGTGTGTTAGCCATTACTCCAGCCTATGGCTCAGCGGAGACCTTGTCTAAAATCCTGCCCAGTAACAACCCTGGGAGTGAGGGATGGTCACCCTGCACCCACTCTCACCTCCCCCTCCCCACAGAAGTTGCTGGTTGCTGATAAGACTGTATTCACCAATAAGCAGGGCCAGGTTTATTTCCCTAACATAAGGAAGGGTGCAAACACTGCGTAGGCAGAGGGATTGTTTAGGGTGGCCCAAGGCTTATAATTAGAAGGGTCTTTTGTAATCCTATTAAAACTTGAAATTCAACTGGGGTGGGCCACCTGTTTTGAATTTAAAGAGCTACCTTTGTTTTAATCCTTATTGACCTCTGTGGCAGTCTGTCTGGTTTATAATGCCACCCATCACCACAGTATGAAAGCACCTTCAACATGAAGTAGATCGGGGTCGGCAACCTTTCAGAAGTGGTGTGCCGAGTCTTCATTTATTCACTCTAATGTAAGGTTTTGCGTGCCAGTAATACATTTTAACGTTTTTAGAAGGTCTCTTTCTGTAAGTCTATAATATATAACTAAACTATTGTTGTATGTAAAGTAAATAACGTTTTTAAAATGTTTCAGAAGCTTCATTTAAAATTAAAATGCAGAGCCCCCCGGACCAGTGGCCAGGACCCTGGCAGTATGAGTGCCACTGAAAATCAGCTCGCGTGTCGCCTTTGGCACGTGTGCCATAGGTTGCCTACCCCGAAATAGATTGTCAAGAGCAAAGTCCCTAGTGGACAGGATATAAAAGTTCCATTCAGGGTAAGCTGATTTTTGTTTGACAGATTTGTGTTTGTTTTAGGTCTTTTTGTTTGTTTTTTAGATCTAATTTTATTTTATTTTGTGACCGATAAGGAGCTACTAACTAAGAAGCATTTGGGCAGATAAAGGAATATTCTTTTTGTTCTCTTAGTAGGTTTCACAGCTGTTTGCCATTCCTATTGCCAAACTTCGCTGTCACTTTGAGATACTTTATGCAGCAATAAGTACCGCCCACACTTCAATCATTAACACCGGGAACACACTTGCATCAACTAATAGAGTGCTCTGGTTGCTCCATGCTTTCATTTCTAGAGAATCTCATTTAAAGGGGGATGCCCTTTGAAATTTCTGACTCCTCTTATCACAAGAGACTAGTTCTTCACAGCGGACAGGGAAATCAAGTTTTAGGAGCTGGCAAACCTGATCATCAACTTAGTGGCACCTCAGAATAGATGACGTGTCCATTTGCTGATTGTGTAAGTGTTGTTATTGTCTGAAGCTTAAAAAAACCAAAACCTGCACACCAATGCCTGGGTCTGTATTTCAAAGGGATAGTGCAGTTTGGGTGAAGAACAATGGTTCCTCTGTAAATAATTATGTTTCTTGTGGCATTTTGGTGATGTAGTACACTAGTATACTAAGCCCCTACACTCTCCCTAGCTGTGCACGGGAGGCTAAACTTCAGAGAAAGTTGTCATGGGCTTAGACAGCAGGGAAAAGAAGGAATTTCTGATCCATCCCACTCCCACCATGATGTATCTGCATTTTTGCCATCCACCACAAAATCCAGACAGCTAACAGATCATGCAAGAAGAGTGGGCAGGAGAGAAGGAGCCAGGGTGCAAGTGTATTAAGTGGCATGGTGTGACTCTCACAGTGCAGGGCAATGGCACCTGTATTCCCCCTCCGTGGTCCAGCAATGGCAGCCACTGGTTTCCGGCTCCTCAGCCCTCACCTCTCTTGGTGGACACCTCCATCTCTCTCCCTTCTGACCGCTGTATTTCCAGGCTGCACAGTCCCCTGCCTATACCATGAATTGCCCAGCAAAGTCAGAGTGCCGAAGCAGGTCTGCTTTGCTTTTCTCCACAAAGGCTATGAATGGTGTAATTGCTCGCAGTTAGGTTTACCACACAGTTATTTCAAAGCAAGCACATTTATTCTTCAGATAAAAGCGTTACAGAGAAAACACATTAAAACCAATAAAAGAACCTTCATGCATGCTAAAAAAATTACCAGAGATCATCCTGCTACTCCAACAAGGGCGCTGGCTGCTGAACAGTCCTTCAAAGCCACACAGGAATTTTACTGTGGGGATAAATTCATAAAAGCTGTTAGCTGAAAACAAGCACCCTTCCCCCACCCTCCGAATCTGTGAGTCACTCTTATCCAGTTTGGGCCTCTGATCCTCATGTAACAGGTGATCAGCAAAGCATTTCTCCTCAGGGCGCAGCTTCGAAAGGATGGGTCCAAAGGTGGGTAATTTGCATTCCCCTCCTCCCAAGTACTTCGTAGGAAACCCACTCCACTAAAAGTTCTATCCTGGCTAGTGCATTGTTTCAAATAGTCCTTTGAAGCTCATAGCAC